ACTTGTAGGCTTTTTAGATTAGAAGCTCATTACTATGGCAACGTTCTCAGCTGAGGAACTGTATAAGAAAATATAATTTACTTGACAGTTCCATAATGTAATTCGAGACTACAAGGGAATTAAAATGTAAGAATGCAGACTCATTTGAGTGGCGAACAATTGAGGTGGCAAACGAATATAGTGAAGGACCCTGTCACCATACACCACCTCATTTTCAGCTGGCTTAATAATTGCAAAGCATCAGAGAGAGATCATACAATGTTCAGTACAAATATTAAAATTTCAAGCTAGTGTTCTCATGGACATTAAGGTAGAAACTATCTGCAGGAACACAGAACACATTGGAAATTATCTTAATGTGCTCTTTACACAAACAAAAAAGGAACCCAACTTAAAACCCTATCAGTTACGCTGTCAGCAGCTATTAAGTGGCTGTAGCTAACCTTCCTTCTTTGTTGATGATGGTGAAGGAAGAACATAACTATCCTGTTTTTCCTGCTCTCTGCTTAATGTCAAGATCTATTTATATGTAATGTGAGACGTGGGTAAAGTCCTTAGCCATACAAGGCATCCTTGGGAAACTTTGTGCCCTACAACACCCATCCAACCCAGCCAGCACAATGGAAATTTTAGATACAACGGCATGTAAGAGGTAGAGTGGTTTATAAAAGAACACATTTTGACTTGCATGTGTAACTTGCATTTGACTTGAATGCATCTGAGTTGCATGCATCGGGGAAAATATGTTTTTCAGGAAGGGGTCACTTGTCCTCATAGAATCATAGAGTTGGAAGGGACCACAAGGTCCCTAGTCTTTTACCCAATGTGGGGATCAAACCCACAACCGAGATTAAAAGTCTCATGCTCTAACAACTGAGTTAGGCATGTGCTTAAGTGTCTCTCCTTATGGTCCAGAGGAACCCAAGATGCTGAGTTACAAATCACTGCATCCAATATGGTGAAGACCAGGCTTAGATTTATTTTTTTAACACCGTATATTGTACAAAAGACTGACAGTTTTTCACAGCTCAGTTATTTTCTGTGTATAAAACTTTTCTATTTTCATAACAGTCTTGACAAATGCCTGCCTTGTGGATGAAAGAGAGACAATGCTAACTTTATATTCTGTTTTCATTGTGAATTTTAGATAATCCCTTTTGTTTCATGTTCAGCCCTTGTTGTCTGCGTACTTCTCAAATTTTCAGTTTAACAATACCTCAGGCTTCAGCTGACACATCGGCTTGAGCACCTGTCAACCACATGCAGGGGCTGAAAGGAGGAAAACAGGAAAGAAAGCCTTGATGTACTAAGAAGTTTCTCTATATTAGCACTGGTTCAGGGGACCATATGAACTTCGTCAAGTACAGCAGAAATGTAGGCTTCCGACAAAGAAAGAGAGAGAGAGAGCAGATAATATCTCACTCACTTAATGAATTCTAAAACCATGCTAAATGCAATAGGCCAGTGAACATATCCATAATAGCAGTGAACATATTCATAATGTTGTCTTCTCCACTAAAGTTATTGCCTCAGTTACATGGCAGATTTCCACATAGTCCTTGGAGGTTGCTCGCAAATATCAGATGAATTTGTTTTGCCAGCTGGTATTGCTTCTTCATTGAATGGATTCAGACGGGTGGCCAACTAGGCAATTTATCATTTAAAGATTCATAAACTACTGTTCTTTCCAAAGCTATCTCTCAGTTTACCAAGTAAAAAAGTAAAATCTCACAAAAACTTAGGGCAATATAAATGCAGTTACAGCAAATATAAAAGAAGTTTTTTAAATCAGAGCTTTCTAATTTCCCCTTCTGGTTTATCTTCTGGACAGGTGTGCACACCCCTGTAGGTGCAAACACTGGATGCAACAGACCAAAAGAATGAAGTTGCTACTTAAAGAGGATGCCATCTAATGGGCAGGAGGGGAGAAGACCTGAGGGTCAATCAATGGTATTTTGCTACCTTAGGCAAATAGTTCCCTCAACAAGCCAACTTAAGAAAACCAAGGTCAGCCAACATATTTTAGCACCTAAGATAATAATAAAAAAGAGACTCTCCCACATCCTGGCAGTAAAATTACAATAATAGTACATTTAAATAACTATTTGATGCCTTTTCATGACTCCCCCAAATCAGCTGCCTTATTCAGCCTAGTAGCAAGGTTGCCATTGACTTGATCCCTCGTCCTTTAGCATGTTTTGTACACATGTCAAGGTATGTATGCACCTGTATCCATTACCCATTTTTCCTCACTATTAGTGGAACATGGGAAGCTGTCTTTATACTGAGTCAAACCAGTATCTTGCCAATATTGTCTATGCTGTTGTCCACAGGCAACAAATCTCTCCCTGCCCTACCCGGAGGTGCTGGGAATTGAACATGGAATCTTTTGCATGCAAAGTTTAAGCTGTACAGCTAAGCTATGACCTTTCTATGTAGTGGACAGCAGGGAAGCTAAAGGGAGTACCCTCTCCAGTTGCGGGTGCTGCACTTTTAAGAAGGATGTTGATGTACACAAATTGTTACAAAGATGGTCAGGGATATGTAAAACAAATGCTATGAGAAAGGTTGAAGGGACAGGTCATATTTAACCTGGAGAAGACTGAGTATAATAGCACTCTTGGGGGCTGTCACATGGAAGAGGGCAAAACCCTGCTGTTCTAAAGGGTGGGAATAGATCTAATGAGAGAGTAGATTTCAGTTGAACATTAGAAGAACCTTCTTAACTGTAGGGTTAACCAACTGCACCGGGAGTGTGGGGGGTGTGATGGGTTCTCCTCCACTGGAGAGGCTGAACCACCAAGTGTCAGGGATGCTCCAACTTGAAATATTGAAATACTTTATTGTCACTTGTACAACTTGTATACAGTGAGATTACATGAGCACCCCCCACACAGCTCTCTTAGTCTTAATTCCCCTCGTTTACTGACACACACACACCAAACCCGAAAGTTAGTTGCCCCGTTGTTATCTTTTAATTCAGCAGCCTAACAGCCCACGGATAGAAGCTGCTCTTTACCCTGTTGGTGCAACTAATCATGCTTCTATATCTTCTGCCTGAGGGCAGGGGATCAAGAAAGTGCCGGCCAGGGTGTGATAATTTTCCTCACTCTCCTGAGGCAACGTTACTTCCGCTATTTCATCCAGCAGATTCACGGGACAGCCCATAATATCTTGTGCTGTATTCACCACCCTCTGTAGGCACTTCCTATCAGATGGTGTCAAACCAGCATACCACACCGTGATGCAGTATGAAAGTACACTTTCTATTGTTGACCGGTAGAAGGAGATCATCAAATGTTGATTGACATCGTCTTCCACAATACTTTGGGGAGATGGAGTCTCTGTTGGGCTTTCTTAACCGCCTGGGTTGTATTTATTTTCCAAGTAAGGTCTTCACTGAGATAAACTCCTAGGAATTTAAAGGAAGAGACTCTCTCCACACAGCCCTCCCCGATGTACAGCGGGGCTAGTTCTCCTCTCTTCCTCCGAAAGTCCAACACCATCTCCTTTGTCTTGCTGATATTAAGGTGCTAGTTGTTCCCTAGGCACCATGTAGATATTTTTTGGACCTCCCCTCTATATGCTGATTCGTCTCCACCTGTTATTAAACCCATTATGGTGGTGTCATCTGCAAACTTAATAATTGCAGTAGATAACGCTGGATTTTCTGAATCAAGCAGGGGACTGAGCTAGGCCACATTCAGACCATGCATGTAAAGCACTACCATATCACTTTAAGCATTCGTGGCTTCCCCTGAAGAATTCTGGGAGCTGTAGTTTGTTAAGAATTCTGGGAGTTGTTAGGAAGCCTCTAGTGCCCCTCACAGAGCTACAATTCTCAGAGTGCCTGCACTGTGAAGAGGCATTGATTGTTAAACCACTCTGGAAACTGAAGAAGTCAGTCTAGAAAAGCTTGGATATCCACTGCAACATGGTGATGATAGCGAATGGTGTGGGCTTTTCTGTTTGGTGTTTTTGCAGAAACCAAGTCTGCTCATTAACACTGAGAAAGTGCTGGGTCACATGGATGCTTACAATAGAAATATACTGAAAATGTTTGCATCATTGTAGGTTACTAAATGCAGAATCTGTGCAACAGGTGAACATTGTGTCACTATCCAAGAATAACCTGCTTGTCAAAAACATTCATCAGAAACTGATGATGGGCTGCTGTTAGCATCCACATAAAAAATAATATTACAGCTAGTGCCCTCAACATAAAAACTATATACAGAAAAAGTATGTTGATTAGAATAATTACATATAATCCTCTTATCTGGAATCATGTGTGAACAAACAGAGCAATCCAATATATGTTTGCTCAGATGTAAGCCCTATTGAACTAGTAGGATTTACTCCCTCTCAAGTATACAGAATTGTAGCCTTAGACAGTGTAGTAAGAGAAATGGTTTTATATAAAACACTGGCTTTGAGTCTGAAGAAAACAATTGTCATTAATAATGAAATCCAGTGGTCGGAGTTGATTCTCTGACTATGTGCAGTTCTTTTATCTTTGTTTTAAATAAAATTTTATATTTAAAGAAAGAAAGAATCTTAAAAGACATATTATGTTAGTGTCCATCACAATAGCTTGTGGTAGTTAATAAAAACAACAGCAATAGGATAATGTAGCGACTTACACAAAAACAGGGATAATACCAAACAGAACTAGCTAGAAATCACAAGAGCAAGTAGGGATGCTTGGCACATGAATAGAAATGAACATGCTTGAGTAGGATTTTTAAATAAAGAGTTAATGAACCCAAAATTTCAGCAGCATATATGTTTAGGTCTGGATTTTTAGCAGGGCAGTGTGTTGAATGTAATAGCCTTTCAAATGCTCTTATTTATTTTACATGCAATATTCTTCCATTAATTCCTACAATGCCACAATGCAACATATAGCAAATATTGACTGTTTTCAAGATTTGTGGAAGGCTGTCAATGCATCATTCCCGAAGACAAACAACAAATGATAAATATTGCAAAGTACTTACAATAGATCTGATGAGGTTCTCTTTGGCCAATTTCAGGGAGGACTTATAGCAATTTGCCAAGTCTTCCTTATGGCTATCACTAATATGTCCTCTTGCTATAGGGCCCACAGTATGAATGACATCTGCAAGAATAATTAAAAAATCAAGTTAATGTTATCAGATCTTCAATAGGATCATACAAAATGTTAAAAGATGAGCTTCTGAATCTATAGGGCTAAGGCAGAAGACACTGATACAGCACAGAAACAAATAATGATAGCTAGCAAATTAACTCAGGACATTGAAGTTAAAACAGAACTCAGGAACAATGCAAGAATGAGGCTGTCCTTTTTATGTCCCCAAATTAGCAGACAGTACTTACTGAAACATTTAAGCTATGACATAATAATCAACTTTCTCTTTCATTATTTTGCTCATTTATCTGGACCTTCCTTGTACTGACTGGCTTTTACATGTGCAAATCCTGATATTCTTCTCTGCTTCCCTAACTTTCCTGTGCCCAATTCATACGTTATTGTGGTGGCATGGCTGACACCTGTAAAATGCTTTCCCCCTCCGCTGCCAGAACATAGCTCCACATTACCTTGGTAAAGTTCAGACTGTTAGATACATGTGATTTGCCCTAATCACATTGGTGCTTCCCTATCTCCCATCAGAACATGCATGCCAGAGGGGAAATTGGTAATTAAGATTTCACACAATGCAGTTTATCATGTGCTATCAGCAAACCAATGTGGAACCAGTCCAAGAGGAATGTTTTGTGCCTGCCATGGTGCCAGAGGAATATTTCTATTGGGTCTGACTCTGGTGACATAGAACATACCTACAAAAGCAAATGTGCTTTCCAGCCACAGCCTCTCTCATCTTCAATTCCATTATCATTAACTATATTTTCAGTGGGTACTTCCTCTCCCTCTCTTATTCTACAAGTGTGTACCAGCAGTCATAATTATGGATGATTTTTCACTATTCTCAACCTTAAAAAATACCCAACAACTTTCAATTTTTACAACATGGCTACCACCGAAACTTACCGCCTAGCATTATATAGTATTCCCAGGCTCTCCCAATCCTGCCAGACTGAAACCACGTTTAAATTCTTCAATTTTCTTTGTAGATCAACAAATGTTAAGATTCAATTGACTGCCAATGGGCAACTCCCACTAGGGAATTCATATCGTCAGTAAATTCTGTGTGCTTGGCACAAACCAGATTTACACAGCTAAACTTTCTAACTGCTGTAAAAATCACACTGAGAAGCACAAAAAACGAGAAATATCAACCTTTCCTTTTTAATCATAGTTATTTCCTCTAGTTACAGGAACAAAACTGCATTATTTGGTTTCATTATTACATCTACAATACTTAACAGCAAAGCCTGTTAAAATTGTTCCCAAAAACCGAAATCTGAAGTTGACACTTAACACTTGGCAGGTGACAAGAAGGATGACAACTAGTGATCAAAACAGGGACATTGGCTTTACCCTTCAGCTAGGCTAAGCATTATATTCCATGTGTATTTTATGCAGCACAATAATAAACTCAGAACAGTTGCTGGTGGAATAAACATGGAAAGGCACAGGGAGAAATATCTGTTTCCACATTTCATTCTGGAAACCCTTTCATTACAGCTGTTTACAGTATTTGACCATAACAGCTTGCTCTGTGAACTGTGTAAAACCAAATTTCTATGCATGTGAAATGTTTTTTTCTTTTATGGTTACAGCCCCCCCCTCAATGCCTAACACAGAGAAGCTTCATTTTATTAATTCTGCTAAATGCTTGAATATACCATACAAGTAGGCTACAGCAGTAGGGTCTTCTTATCAGCATTAAGTACTCAGCACCACACCGTGCTGCAACAGACAAGCTTGACATTTTATTGGTGCACTAGACCAGCAAAAGTAATACATCATTCATAATTAACAGTGTCCAAACACTCCATTAATATGCACACATTACATGGTGGCTTCAGAGCTGCAAACAAGGCTACTAATTACTAAACATTTGCACTGATGTAACAGACTGCAGCAACGGGAAGTGTGCTCGTTCAGGTTGCTGCATTTGTCCTTGAATCGGTACAACTGTTTTATTGTTTTTCCAATCAGAATCAGGCCAGAAGCCCTTGACAGTGAGTGTGCCATCAATATGGGCCATGCATTGGAGAGCGATTCCTCTAGTAATACAGCTGTTTCTAACATACATCAAGGTTCATATTCTAAGCTAAGCTAAAAAAATTTTTTTTAAAAAATTTCTGATATGCCAAACACCAGAAAGAAATTTGGAGAGTGCAGGCATGTGATCATCACATAACCTTAATCTCCACTGTAATAATGAGTTTTGCAATTAGAGACAAGTGCTGAGCTGTAATGGGACAGAAAATACGCCCTTATAGACTGCCCAAAATCTAAACAGCAAGAATGTCTTAAGAGCCTATAGTTTGCAGTGCGAGGGAGACTAGTGTAACCTTCAGAAAACTGAGGCCATTCATCCACATATCAAAAAAACAGAAGGAAATTAGCAAGTTGGGACAGAGCTGAGATACATACACTGAACAATAGGCTAGGGCCACATTTGTTGCGTGTCGAGGTCCCCCAAGCCACCCCCTAAATACCAGTAATTCACAATTCACACATATTTTTTGTTTAAGGTTTTTGGCATAATTTTGGCCACAACTTTATTAAAATACATAAATGTGAGTGGTTGCTTAGGCATTGGTTCAGACTATCTGTCCCCCACCCCTGGACAGAACAGACTTCCAGATTCCAGCAAAAGCCAGTAAGGGAAAACAATATGGGGAGAGCATGGAGCCAGGCACCAGACCCTCACACACACACACCCCGAATGCTCCCGGGGGCTTGCACAGCCCTAAGCCCCATTCAGGGGTACAGACGAAAGAATGGCAAGCCCCTGGATTCCTTTAAAGGAATTCCCTTACAGCAGCAGCATTGGAGGGGCAGGCACTGCCAATCCTTACCCCTCCACAAACCAATTTTTTAACCAACGCCTAACCGCAACCTTACAAGTTGTGACAATTTGCCATGCAATAGGCAAAAACCAAATGGCACCAGCCAATCAGCCAAATGGACAAAATTCCTACCAGGCCCCTGCCCCAAAAGCAGATGACCCCATGACAGGCATAGCAAGGTCAACCAAGAGCCCTAAATTAGGGAGGGTGGGAGGGTGATCCGATGCATGCAGCAAAAGAGCCCAGTCAGTGCTGCGTGACTTAATTTTATAACCTTTGGTCTAACCCCCTAAATGGCAACACCAAAATTTGCCCAGCATCCCAACCGCCCAATCACTGCAGATGGTCATCCAAACTAACCTGCCCAGCAACAGAGGGGTGGCCTGTCAGACCCCACCGCAACACATGCTCTCTATGAATGAGAACACGCTTTTCAGAAACAGCAGTCACCTAGGATGTACTGCAAGGCAAACACGGACTAGAAAGATGTGGGGCTGTCCTTCCCCAGGCTCCCATTGAATTATAAAGGAAAAGGCTGCATCAAACATCTCTTTTAAAGCCAAATTTTAAAACCCTGAAAAGTTTAAGTACTTTCTACAGAACACTGACACAAAGTCAGAGAATTGTAAAATGCCCGCAAAGAGTTACGCAATTAGCAAGGGAAGAGAAAATGTTCTAACGTACATGTGAAACAAGCAAATTGTCGCTAAAGGTTAATAAATATAGCACTGAAAGTGGAGAGGAAGGGAGAAAGAGAGCAAGTGAAAGAAGGAGAAAGGAAAACAGTTCAGGCAGCTGCATTAGTTTTACTTTCATCTAAGGCATCCAATAATGCTCTTGGCAAGTGACTAAAACACAGGTGAAAATTAGCCAATGAGAACAAATTAGGTAAAATTGCAAACACCAGTGAAGAAAGAAAAAAGAACTGTGAATAGAAAATAACAAAATGCTAGATAATAGTGTCTGTATGAAAAGTGTTTTAAGAATACATTCTTTTAAAAATGGGGTAAGAGTAATATATGTGGCATAAAAGCGTTTCTCAGGGTGGTGCATGAATATGTTCATTAGAAACCATATTGGAGAGGTGAAAATATATCTTAATAATGCACAGTGTTGGCTCTGCAAGACAGTCCTTTTTTCTCAAAGCGTACCTTGCTCCCAAGTGCCCATCCAGGCAGAATTAAGGAAAACACGTCATTAATATGTATTGTGTATTAGAAATAATATTATGTAAATACATTTTTAATTCAATCCTTCTGCCAAAGAGCACAAGACATGGACCACACTGTAGCCAACACTTGAGTGTGACTGATCCAAGGCCACCTTCTAAGTTTTGTGTTTGAAGTAGAGATTTAAACCCAAGACTGCCAGATTTAAATCCAACACTACTTCACCGCAATGGTTATTTGTGGCTAAAATAACTTGGGAGACCCTTTCCACTGGAAAAACTAGCAGTGGGATATTATGGTCCAAAGAAATGTGATCTTTGTAGCAAGGAACAAAGAAGGCAGTAGTGTATGTTTCACCATTTGCTGTGGACAGTTGTTGCCATACTAGCTCCAGAGAAACAGATAAAGCAAGAACTACTGACTCCCCTAAGTAAATGAGTTTGTAAATTACAAATATCTCATTGGCAGGCTAAATGGGAAAGGCAGCTACAACATAAATATTCATACACAAAAGGAACACCACAGACACACACAAGGAAACACTACAGTTCCCTCTCCCCTTTAAAGTCACGGTGCAACATAAAGCAGTAAAAGTGCAGTGATCTTGATTTGGAGAGAAGAGCATAATTAATGGGAAGAACAATCCCAGCACACAGCAGAGGGCTCAGACGTTCATCAAGCATGGCACGTATTTGTTGTTTGTATTCATGTCCCCTGCTGTCTGCATGCTGCCATTTGTGATAACCTGTGAGGATCACAATGCCAGCAAGGAATGTAAACAAGCGTTGAAACACTCTCTATACTAATGAGGGAGAAGGCATCCTCAAAGCTAGGAAAAATGTATTGCCTAGCAAGCCCTATGAAATGAATAGTGAACTGATTCTCTGCAGTATGGGTTGTTGCGGACCCACTCACAGTGGGGTTAAAAAATTAGCCACAACTTTATTGATTCCAGTTGTAGGTTGGATCTGGCTTAGGCACTGAA